ATACTTTTCGGTAAGCACTTTACATTATTTTGTGAATGATTTTTAAATGAACATAAAAAGTACATTTGTGAGAACGAAATATGATTACAAAACATACTATATATATATATATATATATATATATATATATATATATATATATATCAGAAACCATGGAGTACTGAATGGCTCTCATATCCTAGTTTTGAAGAATTCAAGAGTTCTTATTCATAATTCAATAGAAGACAGAATCTAAACCCTACAGGATCTTTTAGATCACGATAATATTAAGTCCTTATGTCTAGTTCAGTTAACTACCTATGTAGCTAAGTCCGCATTGTCTCTTATTATTGAGCTACTGTCTTACTCCATCTAAACTTAATGTAACAGGCCTTTAATACACAATTCATTTCTAAACATAAAATAGTGAAATATCTAAAGTAGTAGGCTAAGTGAGGATTAGTTACCTATCGTAATTATCTAATTACTAATCCGATTGGAGTAGAATAAAAAAATATGCATTAACATTTGCTGTAATACATGTATAAATATTTACCTATGGTTTATTCTATGAATCACTGAAGTTCTGTTAGGATTTATGTACTCGATTATGAAGCATATTTACTATGTAAGAGTAATTCTTATTTACCAGATAAATAGATCTACATAGTTCTTATTGCGAACTAGTTGAAAACCCATAGGTTTAATCTAACAATCAAGTTAGTTAAACGTCAGATAAGGATTCACGATAATTTAATGGTGTTAGAATTCTCACTGTTTCAAATGGTTTAAATTACGTATTAAACTTCATTCCCAAATCATCTTTGTCTGAACAATCCAAACAAATTACTCAAAGACAACCTTTCTCTTTTTAATTACATGCAGTACATCGACAAAGTATTGATAATCACTTACGGTATCATAATAACATGAATAGCAACTAAATACACTCAAGTATGTAATTATTTTATCAAGAAATAAAGTCAGTGAAACTCAACAAACCTGGTCCACTTGACAAGAAGAAAAACAGAATAACAATCGAGACAAGTAAAAGAATAACATTAAAATGCAAATCCTACATAATTATCCAGATGCTTGATGGTGACAAGAACATAAATAGGAATTAAAGCTAAACAAAGAAATAGAAATAACGAAAGCATACTCAATACACACAATAAACCATAGATAATTACTTCATTATTAAAGTTTAACAGTTTCTTCCTCTTCCAAACGATTACTTTAATAAGCAAAAAAAAGACAAGACAGTAAAATAAAAACAATCATCAAAAGAGAACTACCTTCAACTACTTTATTATTAAAAAAAGATCATTATTAAACACTATAACTGGGTGAAAAATATATCCCGGCAACAAATCGTATGTGAGTTTATATATGTTCATTTACATACATATCAGTAAAAATACAATAAGACTCACACAGATGAAGCACATCTTATTCTGTGTCTAGTAAACTGTTAGCAGTTAGTTAAAGAGAAGACATAAAATAAAAACGATAATGGTAATGAAAAAGCACGATACTTGAGAAAATGTATAATAGCAATGGTAGTACTAACAATGAATAACTTTTAAAAATATGGGATAATTGTGCATTCACTGATCAAGAGAGATATATGCAAATACATTTACTGTACCACACATCTAACGTAAGTGTATAGTTACCAATATTTATTTTTAATAAGAGTCAGACAAAGATTAAAACAATAGGGATTTAAAAACTATGGCATTAAATGTCGAAAGTTAAATTGGTTAACAACACTACTGAACCATTAATAATAATAATAATAATAATAATAATAATAATAATAATAATAATAATATGCAAATAAGAGAGATTCAGGCCAAAAATGTCAATATATTGATATTGTTATTGTCGTCAATCTTACCATTTAGCTGGTCTATCTTATCGAAACTTCCTAACTGCTAGAATAAAGACTTCGAGTTGTGTCACATGAATCAAACTTATTCATTGATCGTAACAGCAGATTTCAAAATAGTACAATTATTTCTAATGGGCTCACATACTAGTGTTCCATAGGTTAGGCTCAGATAACTTAGTTCATAATTTACTACATAAATGGAGTTCATGTGGATCAACCAAATTTTTCTCAATCAAGATATCATTTTAAATGTAATTAATTCATAACAAACACCTATAACTGAATTAAAATGGGATGAAAATTCATTGATCTTCTTGTGACTTAATTCTTGGATGAGTAACTAGGTTTCATCACTACTTAAAGGAACTTACAATCGAAGTAAAATTTAGTTACTGCATCCACTTGTAAGCTGATTAAAATGAGAACAATACGATCCTGATAAGCACAGTTGGTAAGAAACTTATACCATAGAACGGTTATAAGAAAAAGGTTTATCAAATAACCACGGATTGTTTTTTAATTTGAAAAAGGTTCCATAGTAAATAATATTATTTACACACCACTTTTCCTATCATTAGATTCAATTTTTCTTTAAAAAAAAACAAATACATTTATTTATGCAATATAACACAATTCTAACTTGCTTGACTACATAGATTACAATTTTCCCATAAAACTTCGAGAAATCCATCTCGAACCTTGTTCCTAGTAAACACACGATTATTATTGATTTGTATGGTTTTATTGGGTATAACTTAATTAGTTTAGGAGTAGTTTTTTCTCTGTTATTTATCAAGAATATCTTTTAACTCAACCAGTTATAAAACTTGACGGAGCATTTGATGAAACGAAATTTTTCACTGTATTTTCATTTCTCTTTTTTTAAATATACTATTTATTGTATAATATTGGAAGTAGTAGACAAGCTATCTTAAAGCATTCAATTCAAAGTAACTGTATAAAGAGATCTTTTGTGTTATAATGTTTTTATTTATAAAGTTACTGCTCGAATCTATAAATCCTTAATCATAGAATGAATATAGATAACTTTTTTTTTCTCATCCTTATTAAATCCCTTATCAACCAATTATTTTACTACCGTAGTTGGTAACGTTTTTAGTGACTTTAGTATTTACTAATGGGTGTTTACAGTGATGTAATTAATATCTTTTCTTTTCAAATCCCATTAACAATCATTGACTGGATCAACGTATTGAAATATTCTATGGTATTATAATCATTATTAAGTGAAGTTGCTTTCAGTTCTACCATAGATTATTTTTAACTTAGGTATTTAATCACTTTCTTTTAATTTTGTATGGTAAGGTAAAGTAAAGTAAATTAAATAAGTAAAATTATCAGTGTGCATATTTGATATCGTTGGATTTGGTTCATTTCCTACTGCATCCTTTGTAAGCTTTAATTTTACTTTATATATAAGTTTCAATATAAAATCTTAACACAGGTGGATTTCATTTCCATCTATAGACTATTCCGCATTGATTCAAGCACTTTGTTCTATAAAATCAATTGTGTTTGCTCTAAAATAAAATGTTCAGTTATCCAGACGGTTTTTTAATATACCATACCTAGTTTTGTAGAATTTACGATAAACTGTTTTAAAAGCCTAATTCTCGAAACGTTATTTGTGTCCGTTTTTGATTTTTGATTATGAGTGTAAATATTTTTTATTACAGTGTAATCTATCAAAAGGACACACATTATTTTTAGCAAATAAGATATCCGATCTGTATCATATTAGCTGTAACGTCTAAATTTATTTTGATTTTGACTTACCTATATTTGGATATGTTAACACCTAAGATTTGAAAATTTTCTCTTTTCAGATTAGTCAATAATAATCATTTTCAGATGCCTATTTAGCCATATATTCTAACAGTTGAATAGATAAGCCGATCTAAGCTAGACCGCATATTCCCTAGAAACCATTAGTTCAATATTATTGAAAATACGTAACAGTTTTATTTGTTAAGTATTTGACTTTGTATATTTGATCATATCTAGAAAATCTACTGTAAAGCATAAAATATCGAAGTTGTAAGTTATGTCTTTTCACGTGATTAAACATAATAGAAAAAGCTTTAAATTTTGTTATAAAGAGATGAAAGCTTCTTGTTTCTCCTTTTAAATTTTATCTTTCCATCAGTTTCCAACATTTTATCATTATTTTCTAAATCTTAATATTACTCTTGGGTTATGTAATCATATTTCTAGAAAGAAACTTCCCTTCAATTATCTATCCAATTAACTTGACTACTCAAAATGTATATTTTAAATATTCTAACATTAATGTTACATGGTTTATGTTACAAATGGTTAAACCAAGAGAATAAATTTATAGGATTGCAAAGAAATGATGTCATCCATTTTGTATTTCTTTCTGAATAGTATGTATATTATAGTGACTGACTTTTATTCATCATCTGTAATTTACTATATATTCATAATTCAGTATATACGTATAACATGAAGGTCTCATTATCTTCTGAGGCATAGATCCATTCAACTAAAGCGTTTAGCTCTAAACTGTAGCATTATATAAATAAGCGATTCAATTTTCAACTTAATAATATTAAAAAAAGACTATTATAAACTATTGTGATATTAGGATGAAACGAATCGATTTTTGGAGATGGAAAACAGAAACTTCTATCTCCAAAAATCAAATCATCTAACACAAATCAAAGTAGATTATGTACTATTGTTTTTGTTTTATTATAGTGCACATTTACAAGCAATCAATTCTATTTATAGATGAAGCATACTTACATGCAAATAAAAAAACGGTCATAATCGAAAAACGAATACATGTTAGTGTGGAAGTACTAACTAGCGAACCTTCTTATACAGTTTAAAATGATAACTATTTGATTAGGATATAAAGTTATAAATTTTAGCACCGTCTCTCTCACATTTACCAGTTGGTAGTTAACTCCATGATGTACTCATGTACGGCGAATAACATAATAGATATTAATCAAAAGCGGTAAATTAATAAGTAGAAAAGCATTAAATGTAAATATATATTTGTTATTAAATCCTAATTTTTGTCATATCACATTTATTAGCATTAGTGTTATTATTATCATTGTTATTCGTTTAGCAACAGTAAGAACAGGCAGAATTTACAAGGAAATGAAACGATTGGGATCAAGACATCAAAATCTATGTGAACATTCAACTATTAATCGTTCTTTTCCCAGTCGTAACAACTATCCGATTCCAGAAGATCTTCAAAGAAACAAAATGAAAAGGGCAACACATGAGACAAACTCTCATGGATTTAGCGATAAATTTAAAAGTAAGTTTTTCAAGTTTACATCCTTTAGTTTCGTATGGTGTCGATTTATTGAATATAAATTTATGACCATCTTTGTAAATAGAGCCTTTTTCAAGTAGACAGTACTTATAATTCTAATAAATCACTGTAGTACGTTATTCACGTTTATCTTACCCTAATTAGTGGATGAAACATACAGAAAACAAAACATTCGTTTGTATGTCATTTATACCAATCAGAGAGTAATATGATTAGAAGTTACTTCGTCACTAATTTCGTAATAACTGTAAAATCAGTGGCTTCTTGTTGTGATTAGGGTAGGAAATTATACGTTGATCTCTTGATCACTATTATTATAAAAGATATTGAGAATTTTCAATAACAAAACGTGTATTTGTACAAGACAAATGAAAAGATGTACTTCCATTAGTAATCATCAATCTTCATTTTTTTAAGTAAGGGGTCTGTTTTTTAACTTCCGTTGTTTGATGAGGATTGGCTGACGATTTTGGTCCATTTTTCTTTAAAAATATGTTCTACAAGTAAATCGCCTTACATACACATAATTCCCTTTATCATATTGAAGGGAACAAGAACAAAAATTTAAGCAAACCAACATAAATTCATTTTATTTCGTTAGGTCTTCCTCAACGATTTACAATCTGTAATATTTAAAAATCATAATTACAAAATGGGCTGAAAATGCTTACATAAATGAGTTTGGTTTGTTGTTTTGATCACATATTACGGTATCATATCAAGGATGTAAGGAGATTCAAGAAATTAAATAAAAATGCTGAAGATATATATATGATATCTAAGAGCATTTCACAAAATGAACAGTAACAAAAAACTGAATGAGTAAAAAATAAGTGTTTATGTAATGAACAAACACTAATAGTAAGTAAGGATAAACTGAGTAAAGCTTAGTTAATCAAAGTAAAATTTCCATAGTTTACATCACCAATTGGCCGTAAACAACTACTGAAGGCCAGAAAGTTGTCTTGCTCTAGGATGGGAACGGGAACGCGTGACTAAACTGAGGGTCAAAATTATGGCTTTTGTCTGGTATCGAGCGTTTAACCTCTAGACCACTAAGCGAGCACTCAACAATCTCCATGGGTCCATTATACTGATATTAAACGTGTACTCACTAGCAATTAACTTCGACATATGAATTCAGGATTTCTGATGAAGAACCGAGGCCAGTGAAGTTCAACAACCTTGACTGCGAAGCGGGTATTCCCAAAAGACACTAGAACACAGTCTCATAGTCTCGTAAAGTTGATTGAAGTTAGGCATGTTTACCATTGGATATCGGACCATTATTCTATAGGTTAAGATCTCGCCGTAAAACCAAAGATCTTAGGTTCGATCTGTGGTTAGTCCGTGGATGTGTAATTTTGAAGTTTCATCCTAGGACGATACAGCTAGCCAGCCCTTCCTGGTTTTTTAATGGTTTTCCAAGCAATATCAATGCGAGATATAAACCATGAAAATTCGACGTTCTCCTCAAACCCTCTATACTTATAAAGCAAAGTTATTAATTTAAGGATAGTTTAAAAAAGGACTGATGATGTAATCAGCTAACATAAAGAGTCGAACGAGATTTTATGATGCAACGAACAAATAATTATGTTATCGGGGTAGAGAAACACTGACAAACTGACTCCTTTTGAACACACAATTCAAGTTTCTGACATCTGATAACTTTCGATCACCTTACTGTATTTTCAAAATCCACTCTGCTTCTGCTGGTATTTCGAATGGTTTGCTCTCATGGTAAGAAAAGTTACTGTCGATCAGTAATTAATTCCTTTTCGAATAATTCAATTTAAACTTTTAAAATGGGTATAACTTGAGTAAACAATTTCAAGCTACTTGTAAGTAGTCTTATTATTTTTATCGAAAATCAGATCAGTTTAAGATTTCTACTTTATTGCTTTCTAGAACACAGCATTCTATCAACTCGGTTTTCGCCACCAATGTTGATTCGGGAAGATTTGGCCCCTATTACATCAGAAACAGTAAATATCACAAATAATGCGACTAAATCATTAAATCTTCCTCGGTCGACTCAAAAGACAAATGACAAGTCATCTTCTCCGACTGAAAGCTCAATAAAATCTTTCAGTTCAATTAGTGACACAAGTGGGATAGGATTTTCACCATATGAATCAACTTATTTACTGTCTTCAATTAATGAGGCCTATGCGAAATTATTGGCAAGGCAAGCATATTTGGATAAAATGACATTTAATGCAACAACAACTTCAAATAATACAAATTCATTGACCCATATTGCGGTGAATACTCCTGGTTTCGTAACGACTATCCCTCAAAATGTTGGCAGTACAGATGGAAGTAAGATTACGAATACAGTGAATACTGGTACGCAAATGAAGGACAATTACATTCCACACTCCTTAGAGACATTTTCACCTGTTTCGTTATTCTCAACATTATTGCATTGTAATAATGTTGACAGTCGAATTAGTTCGAATCTTATCCCCACTAAACATCATCAAGATGTCAATTGCACTACTCCCGCATATCCGTCTATGTTAAACTTAGAAGCTATCGGACCTAGTATAAATTCGGTGAAAACTCCTTTCCAACTACAGGAAGCGCATGACACTGTTACTCCTGTTCGAATTAATTATTTAGATACATCTGGTTGTAGGAATACTAGCACTAACTCTCAAACAGATAATGCACAAAATCACTTAGACTGTCTTCGGGGTGTACCACAAAACAATGCATCACGTGATAGACCTTGCCAGTCAAATGACTCATCCTGTTCATTATTATCATCATTTTTATATTCAAATATGACTTCAGAGTTAAACCCAACAAAATTGAACCTAAATGAAGGTAAAACTAATGTACAACCAGGTTATTCGAAATGGGAAGAATTTGATTATCGTCATTATTATAATGCATTTACAACATTTCTTTCAGGAATGTTAAACATGTCAGGTATAAATTCCAATTGTTTGGGGACCAAAAAACTGAATGAATCTACTTGTGATAATGATAATTTCCGAAATATACATTCTAGTTTCAACAAAATGAAATGGAATCGACATGTTCTTAATAATAAAAATAACATTACGTCATGTTTAAACAATGAATCTACAGATATGAACTCAACATTGAACCAAACATCTGATAAGAATGACTCATCAAATCATGTGCTAAGTATAGAACATTTGTTAGATTTGAATACACACGGTACTGCAAACAATGATACAGATCATAGTAAACATGACAATAAACATATGTCAGCAGATGAAAGTAGTCCTGATTATTCAAATTTCATGAGTACCCCCAATAATAAGCATAATTATGTAAATTATTTTCCTCAAACTGTACCAGATCCATTGTTGATCAAATCAATTTTGGCTCGTCATTTAATCGAAAATAAATCGTTTAGAGTTTGAAACTAATTTATTATATTTGTAGAAGGTTAATATAGTGAATTTAGGAGGCAGCACAAGTGATCTTCATCTGTTTTCATCATAATTATGACATATAGAGACTATGTAAACATACACATGCGTATACAAACTTTTACAATATTGTATTACGTTAACATTTTACCTCATATATATATATATATATATATATATATATATATATATATATATATATATATATATATATATAAATGAAGATTTATTGTATTCTTCAACTTCACGTACACACTAATAAAGCTATTTGTTATCTCTTTCAGATGTGTTTCACTTATTTTTTGCAAAACAGAGTTAAGTAAACATTATTATTGGGAAAACATGTAATAATCTTATATATGCCCATATGTGTCTCGTTCAATACTTCAGGATTATATTCATCATACATAGGATTCATGATCGATTTCGTACATCTTACCAAAAAACCATTACGATTAAATTTCACTCTATAACAGTCTTTTCTGTAAATTGCATGAAGTAGGTCACCTGAATCAATAATCTTTTTCCTTGGGATTGTTACGTCCTTGATCTGTCTACCCACTTCTATTCAGATGATAACTTGTCTAAATCTAGATTTAGACCTTGATGCGATAAGTGAACTTGCTTAACTTTGAGGCTAGTATGAGTGAGTTCGAAGTGAGCCCAACTGCTTCGACTAGAGAGACAAAAACTGTCCTATTACCTGATTGGCTGACAAGCACGTGAGAGAGAAGACAAGTCAACTGGAACACTACTCGACCTATTGCCGATTCCGATCTGGTTCCGATTAGTGTAAAAAAATACATGAATAAATAGATGACTAACCAGACCACAACGCTCAAACAATTAGGAAAAAAACAATTACATCCAAAACTGGAGATCAGGGTAGAAAATAGAGTGCAAAAGATTACGCTTAAATTACAATAGCTTTGGAACAGAAAAGGCTTTGGTAGTGAATCATACATCAAACGAAAGCTTACAGTCTGTAGAATAGACTAGGGACAAGAATAAATATTGCTGTTTTACAAGCTTTGAATTAAACGAAATAACGTCCCTAAAAATAGATTCCGTAGTTTGTCAAGACTTCTTGTTTCTCTGTTCACATAATGGATATTATTAATTCCAAAGGTATATCAGTCAACAGGTGAAGGGAGTACCCAAGATTGGTTCTCCCGTCGTAATTATGTAGACAAATGGTTTATAAATCTCTCATAATAAAATTGGTGATTGTTAAACAATTACGAATTTTAACGTGATTAGGAAGACATACTCTCAGTTAAAATATTACTGAGAATCCATAATTTAATTCGAAGCAAGGGTTGTTCAGCATTCAAGTAGGGTTCATCTTCATAGTTTGCTCAGAAACGACTTATTAAATATATAGTGTTGCGTTAAAAAATCTTGATAATAAAGCCCAATGCAATTAGTTAACAGTAGCTTTTCCCATCTTGATATTATTTATTAATGATAAGCTCACTTATTCACACAGATGGCATATAGGTTGTACGTCAGTCTCTCAGGTTGGTGCTAATATTATTTGTGATGTAATTATTTTGGCTTTGATACGATTTGGAATAGGAAGCAAGGACGCAATTTCCCGATGATTTTTCGTATGTCAGTCAGTTTGTAATACGTTCCTTTTAAATTTGATAGAAACAACTACAAATATCTTATTCTTAAGTTCCCGTTAAATTCAGTCTAGTGAGAATAGATATGAGACACCATTTGTATACTTGATTACTTCAGTTGAGTATTCCTTGAATAAATTCGATAAAAGTATTTTAAATGTGAAGTAAGAATACAAACTGAATGTTGTTGAACATATTGAGATTATAAAGTTCGAATTGAATATTACATGGATAACACAATATTGTTTAAAACCTACAAACCAGTTTGATTGTTAAAGTGATAATAACATAGCAAACTATTCACCCATATGGAAAATATTGTCAGAACTACGTATTTTCAAAAGAATTATGATGGTTTTTAAATATCCCGAATATCAAAGTATATTTTTTTCAGGAACTACGAGAAATACACTTTGTAGAGATTTGAAACAACCATGAGAATAATACATGACGCAGATGTAAACTAAACAGAAGTTGTAGTGAACAAGAACACCAATGGGGACAATCGAATGTATTTGACAACAAATTACAGCACTTGTTAATAAAATCTAACAACCATATAGTGAATCGTTAATTTGCAAAATACAGAATTGCGAAAATTGTAGCTTATCATGTAAGTATAAAGAGAATTCAGGGGAAGTAAAGTTAAAGAAATACATTTGATATACATAGTGGTAAAGAACTAGAAGGAAAAAGTAAGATATAAACGATCTGAATGTTAAAATACTCCTAATTTACAGCGAATCTTTGTGTTTCATGGAGCCCGGCAAGGAAATTTACTATCATTCGTAGGTATCATATATGGGTTTTAATAATAGATCAAGGCTTCTTACATACTTTCGTTGACTTGACAAACGATTCCTACAATAATAAATCCGTTTACTTTAAGCGGAATAGGAATGGACTTGAGAGTTCTAGTAATTATAAACAAATACTATCCTAATTTAGTTAGGAGTCATCAGCATAGATATCACATAATATATTCTTACTACGCATGCTATATAATGTAATTTCATGGCCGCATTCATTTGGAAAAGGGAAAGCAAACGATTTTATCAAGAGAAACGACGTCATTATGTCATTTAAATAAAGATGAGTTGCAAGTGTGTAATTTTCCAATTCAGAATCGCGCATTATCACTACTGATTTACAGCTCCAGAACGTCTTTTTCTGAATATTAAGTGATGGTCCGTAAATGATTTTGGAATAATTCAAACTACCGTATATAACAAATGCTAAACAATTTGATAACTAAACAAATTACTAATCACTTGAAAACCTATAAATCTTAAAAACAGTCTCTGATAAATATAAAACAAACACTGTTACCGAATTACCTGCACTAAATCATTTATGATACAGTTCGAATTTACAAGTTGGGACTTCTAATTCATTGTTTTAATCGTTGAACTATGAGTTTATCATAAACTATTTTTGTCTATTAACTAAGTTAATTACCATCCATAATATATAAATATTCTTCTCTCGGTTCATACAAAAAACTAGATTAACTCAATCGCTTGTTTTATGTTAAAAATATTTAATGAACACACCATGTTGATAGCTTAGTTTCAAAATAACATGCCAATATTAGAAAACAAATAACTGAAGTGTAAACTGGGAAATATTAAAGTAAGCCAACTTTCATGGAATTTTTATTTTAATTTAAAAAGATACTTATTATATCCGTTTATCCTATTCATTTAGCATTTCCATTAATTTTATTACTATTGCCTTTGTAATTCACAGTACTACTGTTATTATTGACAGTAGTTTGAAGGTGTTAATAACAACGGAAAATTTTTCTTTCCTAGAGAAAAAGATTGAACAAAACATTTAGTATCATGAAACATCAATTTCGAGAGACAAATATTTCTCCCCTATTCAACTTTATATATATATATATATATATATATATATATATATATATAATTGACTCCAGTTACACACGAATGGTTAACTGAAATTGTCCTGTAAATTTGGGAAAAGAAAAATGTTTATTATTAGTTAAACTGTGTTGACAGAAATCGGTTTGCTTATATTTTCCAAGCGAGTGTTTTCAGGAAATGTGAAAAAATAAGGAGTGCTACAATAATTAGTCATATTTATTTTTTGTTTCTAAAGTTTACCGAGTTAATGGAACAATATAATTGGTAACAATGGAAAAAGACTTAAGAATTCAGCGATGCATATACTGCATTTCCATGGGACAGAACCAATGTGGGAGAGATAGAAAAGTTAATTTATTTACAATATATTTTACTAATGTTTCTGAGGAACTTTCTAGACTTATGATTGTTACCCAATCGGTGTTTAAGCGCTCTGAGTAAAATCCCTGTTATTTACACATGATTACCTGAGACAAGTTTACTCTGCAGCAAATGATCACACTTCTAAACTCCTTATTTAATTTTTGGTAGACCAGAATACTGGGTCTTGTAGTTGAACAGCAGTTCCAAACATTGTTTTTTTTACCAATAAAAATAATATATTTTTAATACCCCAATTTTATTTTCTGATGGTTAGTGGCTCAGTGTAAGCCATTTCAAATCAAATTAACCCTAGTCTAAATAGTGCAAAGGAACAGACAAAAAATAGGCCCAAGTCAACGCCATTCCAGTCAAGGTGATTTATTTGAGACATATTTGTGTGTTAATGGGTAAAACATGTAGAACTTGTAATGTGGAAAAGATAGAGTTGATTCGGTGTGTGCAACAAGTGTGAGATATGAATAGAATCAGGAATGGTAGCTTGAATAGATGGTCCAAGTCAGTTTTTCGACCAATTATTATTACGAAAATCCTGACCTTTTGGGGACTCTTAAATGTAAATACACCCCGACTTGATTTTATTGGATACTTTTATTTATTATTTTATTTGAACACATAGATATTAGTATAAGGAGGCACCAAATAGATATACGCCACATAAATCATTCGATTTTTGTGAGGGCTGGAATACTGGTTGGGTGCCCAAACTGAAGCAAGTGATTTTCTAGGAGGGGGCATACTTGGAGCCTTCGACCTAAAGGTCTGATCCACAAAGCAGTGGAGCAACGTCAGGAGATGCAGTCCTATGGTAGCCGGTGATCAACGATTGGTTCATACACTATTTGTACCTTCAAGATATTGGGGCCCATGTGCACCATTGGTTTGGAATCAGGGTTTTGCAACTCCCCTAGGTGGACTCTCCATATCCATCAACCCGATTAAAGCGCCTGACATTCGCTTTTCGTTCTCTCAATTTCGTGAACACCCCTGACACGAGAAGGCAGTGAGTAAGACTTCCTTGGCAGAGGCTATATACGCGTGGCCATGCGAGAGCATTTCGAGAGGGAGAGAAAACTCTCCCCATTCTCAGCATTTGGGGGCATTGGATACTTTGCTGAATGACATAACAATACGAGATTTTTCAGAAATCACAAGGCCGATGCCCCTTCTAACAACCAGAGAAACAATCAATAAGGGTACACAGAATGTTCTGATAATCTGAGAGACCGGAAGAATCAGCCAAATAGCTACGGAAATGAGGAGATACAACTTGACGGTTCTCAGGATCCGTGAGATCCATTGGACAGAAAAGGATAGACTCGGGAAAGATGCTGCTGTACTCCAGACACGAAGAAAATGCTCCACACACTCAGGGAGTTACTCTGATGCTGCCAAAGAAGCACGTATTGGGCATCTCATGGATCTAGAATCATCAAAGTATCTTTCAAAACAAAGGAGGGAATCACAATAAATATTATGCAGTGTTATGCAACCACCAATAATAGCAGCAACGACGATAAAGACCAGTTTTACGAGAGGTTGCGATCAATCGCAGCGAAGTGCCCAGGAAAGGACCACACCACCTCATGGGAGACTTAAACGTCAAAGTCGGAATGGACAACACCGGGTACGAAGATATCATGAGACGACAAAGATTGGGAGAAAGAAATGAGAATGGTGACAGATTTGCAAATTTATGTGCATTCAACAAAATTGTTATAGACGGAACAACATTCACATACAAACGCATACACAAGACTACATGGATCTCGCCGGACCACACCACGGAGAACCAGATAGATCATATTTGAATGAATAAAAAAGTCAGAAATCCAGTGGAAGACATGAGAACCAGGGAAGGAGCCAACATTGATTAAATCACGATCCGGAGGTTGCCAAGATGAACATGAAGCTAAAGAAGCACTGGACAACTGGACAAACAGCATTACAACGATTCAATATAGCCTTCCTTCGATAAACTGACAAACTCAACCAATTCAAGACAACTCTTAACAACAGATTCCAGGCCTTACAAGATCTACTCAAAGAAGAGAAAATTACCATAAAGAACAACTGGAAAAGAATCAAAGAAGCACCAACTTCATTGTCAGAAAGTGTTAGGTCGCAATAAGAATCATCATAAAGAATGGATCTTTATGGAAACCCTGAACAAGATTTAAGAAAGGAAGAACAAGAAAATAGCAACTAATAACAGTCGAACAAGAACAGAAAGTCAAGGCATAAGTTGAATACATTGAAGCAAGTGAAGAAGAGCATTAAAGCTGACAAACAGAAATACGTGGAAGACCTAACAACGACAGTGGCAAAAGCTGCAAGAGAAATATGAAACAACTACATGACACGACAAAGAAACTAGCAGGGAAATACCCTAAGCCAGAGAATCCGGTAAATAACAAAGAAGGCAAGTCAGTCATTGAAATTCGAGGACAGATGGGTAGAATACTTCGGGGAACTGTCGTGTCCCGATAAGCATAATGAATGGTAGCTTTTGGGATCCATTTATGGACCAATAATATGCGTATATTTTTATCGTATAATTGTTAAATAACTAAACTATACATATTCATGTGCCTCTTATTATGAGCTTTATTTTGACCTATGACCTATTATTATACGACTTACCATTCTTGAATTATGTCCTGTCTATTAATTAATACCTCCCACATTCGGCCAAATCTTGTATAAAAGTTGTTTCTTATTTTATTGGTACGATGCGGTCTGTCTGGTTGGTATATAAACCGAGTATGCTTGAAATAAACGATTCATATCGCAGAGGCTGAGATTGGTGTTGTGGACTTAACTGGTTGGGCTAGGCACGAAGCAGGACCAATAAGGACTCTAGACTGCTCTCACGGGTTTTATGCGTCGTTGGTCCGGTCGACAAATTAACTGCTCTCTAATTGGCGGTATCTTTACGTAAACATTAACAGGGCACACAGGCCACAAGTTATAACAGAAACCCTTGAATAGACAAGCTCAATTGAATCCACTGGATATCGAAGCAACACACATAGACATTCCTATAGATGTCACTCCACGAACAATCGAAGAAACCAGGATGTCCACCGGACAAATCAGGAGTGGGAAAACAACAGGACCTGACAATATACCAGCTGAAGCACTGAAGTCAGACTTAGAGGCAACTGAAAACATACTCTACTTCTATTCAGGGAGATTTGGGAAAAGAAACATGTGCCGACAGACTGGAGAGAAGGATACCTCATCAAGATACCTAAGAAAGGAGATCCGAGCTAGTGTGAGAACTACAAGGACATCACATTAATATCAGTACTAGGAAGCCCGATGAAAGACACCCAACTTCGAGATCAACAGACCAGATTCCGTAAGAATCGCTTGTGCACAGATCAAATCATGACACTACGGATCGTCGTTGAACAATCAATTGGATGGAATTCGTCACTATACATCAACTTCCTCGACTATGAGGCGCTTGACAGTATGGATAGGAGGACCTTATGGGAGTTCTCTTCGACACCGTGATCTACCTGAAGAAATCGTCAACACCAACCGGAATTCACACGATGGACTACACTACAAAGTGGTGCATGGAGAACAACTGACAGACACGTTCCAAGTGAGGACTGGAGTCAGACAAGGTTGATTACTCTGTTCTTTTCTCTTTCTTCTGGTGGTTGACTGGATTATGAAGACTCACACATCCGAGGGGAAGCATGGAATACAATCGATAGCTCGGAATCAAGTAGACGATTTGAACTTCACAGATGATCTAGCTCTTCTATCCCATACACATCAACAAATGCAAGTCAGAGCAACCAGTGTTAGCAGAAGCCTCTGCACCAGTTGGCCCCAACATACACAAGGGAAAAACCAAGATCCTCAAATACAACATGGAGAACACCAACCCAACCACACTAGATGGAGAAATTCTGGAAACATTCACATACCTGGGCAGCATTATCGACTAACAAGGAGAATCTGACGTAGATATAAAGGCACGGATCGGAAAAGCAAGGGCCACATTCCTACAATTGAAGAACATATGGAACTCAAAACAACTTTCAACCAACACCAAAGTGAGAATCTTCAATACGAACGTCAAGAAAGTTCTACTGTACGGAGCTGAAACTTGGAGAACTACCACGACCATCACCAAAAAAGTGCAAGTATTTATAAACAATTGTCTACGCAAGATACTCAATGTCTGTTGGCCAGATACAATCAGCAACAGCCTTCTGTGGGAGAAAACAAACCAGCTTCCAACTGAAGAGGAAATTAAGAAAATACGCTGGAAGTGAATAGGACATACACTGCGGAAATCATCAAACTGTATCACTAAGCAAGCGCTAACTCGGAATCCTGAAGGGAAATGGAAAAGAGGAAGGCCAAAGAACACAGAGTCGGGGATTGGAAGTAGACATGAATAGCAACTAGAAACAATTGCGAAAGACTGCCTAAGACAGACTTCGATGGAAAATGCTGGTGGGTGGTTTATACTTCTCCACGAGGGATAACAGGCGTAAGTAAGTCTTCTTATTGATAACCTGGACGAACTATAACGGCCTTCGGCAATCGTTAGATGGAATAAATGTTTTCTTATCAGTGATGAGTTTTGACTACTGTTCCGAAGACTTTATAGGGATTCTGAGGGTTTATGAGCAAGATATTTTAGAGTTACAATGGCAGTTCGCCAAAATAGATCGATAGAAGTCAGTAAATTGTAATAAACTCATTCGCTATCCTCATGGGAGATTCCAAGTGCGAGGAATCTATATCTACGCCCTCCGACGAATTGACATTTAGTCATGAAGAAAGTTTAGAATGTAAGAAAAGGTAAATCAATCTATTCAAACGTTCATCTCTAGAGTTCTTGAAAAAACGTAAAAACAAACTTCTCGAATCAAATATGGGGAACGAATTTACTGTGTTTTACAGGAATCCTGACTAAGTGATTGAGGCATAGCACATCAGAACAACTAGTATTCTGATTCCAACAAAGACTATTTTCTATAATCTTACATTGTTTAAGTTAAAGTATATAGGGATAAATTACATAAAACAGCTTATATTTGCCGTAAATAGATTACGATCAAAAAGTAACATTTACCTCAATTTAGATATTTATCAATAACAAAATATAATTAAAATTTACACATAATAGAAAAAAAAAGGAAAAAAAAGCTACATAAATGATCCCAAGTTTAATAAATAATAAACAAAAGAAAAAAACTTTATTTTGTTACAATTTGTTAAGACAATAAAGCGAGAATTTGTCAGTCAGAACAAAATCGATGGGACGCTGAATAATTAACTTCGAAAGAGAACGAAGTAGAGTTGTTGTGCACAGGCGATACAGAGCACTGATGACCTGATTGAAAAGGATCAAATAATGAAAAACGAACACACAGAAACACGTACAAAAAGTAAAACGTTAAGACGTAACAGAGACTAAATATACCATGCAATATTATCAAGTAACAATAAACAAAATACCTGGTTACTAACAGTATGCAAACAAGGCACTTAAAGTTGAGGATTTCTGTTTGAAAATACCATCCATCTATTCTTTTACAAGTATATATATGTATATAACCAGTGTACATATATTCGAGTGATATATAAGAACAAAAACCAGGAATTACAAATTATGAGATGGATAGAAGCCGACGTGGGGGAGATTCATCTGCATTTTAAAACATGATATGCTTCATCAATGTCCTTTCTGTAAAACATAGTGAGAAAGCAGCTGAGGAATTAACAAAAAACACCTAGTTTTTTAATCACTCACTGACTTAATCATCAAATGCATATTTAATACGAGGTTACTGTACAGCAAAAGAAAAAGAGGATACAGAAAAAAATATGTTCACCTACAATTACCACCATTAGTCACATGGTGCCTAGGAGCGAGAATACTTTTATCTTTATTCGGGAACTGTATTTTAAATAATTTTCCTGACTATGAAAATACAAAAGGAATAAACGAGTATATGAAATAACAATACCTCATATACATTTTTATTATTTACTTAAAAATGGCTGTAGTTGATGATATACCACACAATAAGTATATCGATATAAAATAATATTAATCCTGAAAGTGCTCCAAGTGAATTTATATGTGTGTGGTTCCCAGTTTATGTGAAATTTTAACAAACGATATATAACTAGAGATAAGTATATAACAATAATAATAATAACAAACAATTAACTAAATCTTTCTTGTTAACAATAAGCAAACAATTAACAGAGTGAGGCCGAATACAAATAGACCACTTGAATTAGAATGTGGGGTATACTCGCGTAAAACAGCCACCTAAAATATATGTAATAATAAAAACGTAAGATGAAATAACTTTTAAATCAGATAATTTTAAAAGAAAATGATTACTTGGTTCTATCATATAACTTGTTTCAGGTACTACTTTTTTGATAAACAGAGTATGAAATCATTATGAATGTGAATGGATAAAAAAAGGATGAAATCAATATTTGTTGATATGTAAAAGATATCTCCACAATATATTAAATTGAGTACAACTTATCAAAAATTAATACGTAAGAAATATGAGGTTGACGAGCTATGAAATGAATAATTCTCTTCAATTGTTCTGTACATGAAGTTTTGGTGAAGTTGGTTTTTGGTTAGTGAGTAGACTATTTTGGTAAATGAATCTTTTTATCAACACTAGGTACACATTTACATACCTGCAGGGAAACTGGACATAAGTGAGAATTTAAATGATAATTAACAATCTCAGAACTGTATTCCTAATCTTTAAATGGACGAAACTTGAGTGGTAATCAGTAAAGTAAACCAGTCATGGATAAATGGATTGTTTCATTAATTGTTATGACACGCTGGTCAACATTTAGGCCTCAATTTATTAGAGAGTGAGTGACCTATAAACTAATTTTCTCCAGTTGTCAATGACATTTTATAATGTTAATTTTACTTTAATATTTTGTATATAAGCATCCAATGCTATTACATAAAAATCAATTTTTTTAGTCTCCACCAAGAAAACTTTCATATAAACTTGAGTCTCTCGCTAGCAACGAAGATGCGGACAGAAAAGTCTCGTTTGTTGTACTGACGTCGGAGTTGCAAACCAGTAGCTTAGACTACAATTAATTTTAGAAATTCTTAAAGGACAAATGTACATCAAAACGGTAAAATCTAAACACTACATTTAATATACGTTACTATCATAACAAAGCTAGTTATGTTTTTGTCTATATATTCAACGACTAGATGGAGTATCAGAGGAAGTAAGAAAAATATAAAGTGGTACATTATAGCAACATACCGTCAGATCAAAAGTCCTCGAGAATTCAGTTCAGAAGGTAATAATAACCTGTTTTGTAAAGCTTAAGTTTAATATTTTTTTATACTACTAGTAAAATATAAGTAGATTGATTATTCTAAACAAAATTATATGAGACAGATTTCTTAAGCGAGTCTTAGTTAAATGACGATCCAGTTTAACTCACTTTAAAAAGCTGATACACTACCTTTACTCAATGAATTCTAAATTCAGCCGGTGGATTAACATTTTCCTTGTTACTATAGATCATTCGGTGTTTTGAGCAAATGAAGATTGGAAACTAATTAATATATTAAAACCATCGTTACATTTCATTGAAATAGGAAAAATTTCAATGTTGAGTTGAACATTCTCAGCAAATAGAATATAATCTTTCGTGAATCATCCTGCTCAATGACGAACTCGTGGTAAAAATACATGGCAAGTAGTACAATGATTAAACATTAGTTATTAGAAAATGTGTTGAGGAAAATTGAGAGCTTTTTCTTAAAATTAGGGAATAGATTCCGAGACTTTTATAGAATCAGCTTGAAGTTTGATATCAAATAGAATGTGATTGTTTTGTAGCTGGGGTGGGTAAATAAATTTATAACAAGGTGTTTGATTTTTCTCATTATCAGCCTATCAGTATGAAACTTAGATTCAGTACATCATCACGAACACAAACTGAATCTCGCTAATAAGACATTACGCCAAAACATAATATTGTATTTCTGGATTAGTGGACTACGATCAGTAGTTAGAACTTGAATACAACATGTATAACAATATGGCCCTAACCTTAAACACATTTGAATTTTTATTTACATGAGTGTGCCAGCTACAATTCTATGAGGAAAAGTAATAACAACTTTCTAAGGAGCTAAACTTCGTGAAAATGTTATGAACGTCTTTTCAAAGTTAGTTGCTTTAATTTTCACACAGCCAATTTTAAAGGTTGAGTCTTTGTCTGTTGTGTATAAATGCCCTGGTACGACCGAGAGTGGGGAGAGTCAGCTCTCTCGCCTGAAATGCTCTCACATGGCCACATGCATACAACCACTGCGAGGGAATTCCTACTCACTGCCTTCTTGTGTCAGGGGTGTTCACGAAATTGAGAGAACGAAAAACGAATGTCAGGCGCTTTAACCGGGTTGATGGATATGGAGAGTCCACCTAGGGGAGTTGCAAAACCCTGATTCCAAACCAATGGTGCACATGGGCCCCAATATCTTGAAGGTACAAATAGTGTATGAACCAATCGTTGATCACCGGCTACCATAGGACTGCATCTCCTGACGTTGCTCCACTGCTTTGTGGATCAGACCTTTAGGTCGAAGGCTCCAAGTATGCCCCCTCCTAGAAAATCACTTGCTTCAGTTTGGGCACCCAACCAGTATTCCAGCCCTCACAAAAATCGAATGATTTATGTGGCGTATATCTATTTGGTGCCTCCTTGTACCAATGTTTATGTGTTTAAATAATAATAATAAATCTATATTTTTAATTTTGGAATACTTTATATTTAACTGTCAACGAACAACCCTAATTATATACACTGAATGAATATACAAATTTAGTGCAGGTTATCTACCTTGTTCTCCAACAAATATTAATCTCTGATCACTATGAAAAACTGGAATAATTAAAGATGGAAAAGAAAAAGTATTATTTTAGGTTCGGTTATTGACTAATACAAATAGTACAGCTAATAAAAACTGGTAACTTACCCAACCACCATGACTTTCGACCCATTTGTAAATACCATGAATAAAAATAAATTTGACAACAAATCTTATGACATCACCAGCAAGACCACTAAATCCTTTTGAAATTGCATTGACTACCACTTTGACAGCGAACATGAACAATACCACAATTCGTGACCAGTTAATAATCCCATCCGAGAAAACTCTAAAATAAGTCAATAAAATGACTTTAACTGTATTTCTTCACAGTATAGTCGTGAGGATTGTTTAATTTAACTAAAATCACGAACCGACCGAATTTCATAATCTGTGGACCAATGAACTGGGATCAAATCGTGTACAAATTAAGGGTTCGAGAGCGAGACGGAAGGTCCGATTCCCGTTTGCAGGGTCGTGGATGTGCGTTGTCGAAAATTCCAATACTAGGATGCAACAGCAGTCTAATGCTCCCAGTTTTTCAATGTCTGCTTAACTTTGATCGCTTCGTGATTCCAATGAAATATATCTCTTTCTAAAAATGATTTTAAACTAAATTATTTGATAGAAATAGATTACTGATGAACTCCTTTAACTTGACAATATTGAAACGTTAAGCCAATGTAGAACATATCATCCAATATGGTTCGATGCATAAATTAGTCCAATGATAATAATCAATTTTATTTTACAACTATCAGAAAATAGATAAATATAAGGTAATCTAGTAGTAGTATAGTAGTTTTCCAAACTTCTTTCAATCGAGAAAATTCTTCACGCGAGGATAGCTCACTTTCTACCGCTTTCAAAGAAGCTCTTTTTCTTATGGTTTGTTTCCTGTTAGTAAGTTAATTTTTCCGACTTCTGAGGACTTTCTAAGTGGATCAGAATGCAATCACTGACCTAAATCAATATTCTTTAATCTGTCTCAAGAAATCGAAGCAATACATGTCTTTTGATTTGAAATGAGCTAGGAAAAGGATAATAGGTTGTAGTATCTACAGTATCAAAAACTAAAGTTAGAAGTTACCTTATGGACAAGTTGTATCACTAGTAGATAACGCGATATTGGGAACTGGACAGTGATAGATTGGAAATCATTTAGCTTAACTATGTACTAAAAATCTTTCTGAAAATAACCTGAGTGGAAGTAAATGGTTTGTGACTCAGTGGTTCAATCTAAAAATAACTACAATGACAGTCGAATACATGATAATCGGTATTTTGAAAACATTAGGCGAAAGAGTTAGTAAAGATTATGTAGTTGTTAAGCTTAAGAGAAAATATTTATCTACATAATCCATGTGAAATGTTTGAGTTACGGACAAGAGAGGAAATAAGAACGGAATGAAATTTCTTTATTATAACTCTTAAATAAACCCAGTGGATATAATTTAAAATATGTTCACAGAAAGAAGGATGATGAAAGTGAACCAGGCAATCTAAAAAAATAATTCGACTCTTGTGTAATCGTAGGAATTTAGAATAACCAATTAGCGAAAAAGTTTAAATTTCATACGTATAACTTATGAGTTTGCAAAGCATTACAGATATGTATTTTGCAGGTCAAAAGATCCTTCATAATCGTTATCTTTGTGTACATTACAAAAAAATAATACGGAAATTATATACGTAACGGCATCTGTATACATGTACTTAGTTGGATATTTAGTCGTTTAGATTTCACGCTATGTAAATGTAGTTCTATTATTAAAGTCTAACTATGAATATTTGTCGATATAAATAGAGCGAAATTTGTGTAAAAAGTTATTATGTGGATGAGAAATGTATTGTGGTAACTTATTTGTTTTATCCCTAGTTCAATTCAAAAGATGAATAAGCCTGGAAATAATTAATCTTTCTTAAACTATAGAAACAAAAAAAACAAAACATGTGAAGAAATCTTAATAGGTGATATCCGAAATAAGTCCTCAAAAATGAATGGGAAATATCGATCAGTATTAGTCGACATGAGGCTTGTTACAAATATCTATAGGTCTAAGCTGTCATATGCCACGTGAAGATATTGTGAGAGGAAGTAAACAAGCTGAAAAGCAATCCCAGGTGGAATGGAAAACTAAATCTGAGATAGTTTAAAAAGAAAAAAAATGAAAATTACAGAATGATTTGAAACTCAAGATTAAGAGGAAGACAGAATCAATGTGATTCTGTCATCGCGAACTATTTTGAGGTCAAATACTTTCAGCCTATGCATTTCCTACTTATATAGACTACGTTTAGCGACCATGATATAATACAGCTGTACTACAAATGGAGTAAATTTTGCAATAACTGAGAGCTTTTTAGTATCTGCGCTGAGATTTCACTGCCTAGCCAATCTACCATGGTCGATGAGACTTCTAAGATGAGTGAAGTGGTTTAGATGACCAACTGATCCCCCTATGGCAAGACATAGCACGTAGATTAGTTATGAGGCAATGTTTGGCGTAAGAAAAACGCATTCCAGGCATCTCTGTACTGTTTATAAAATTAAACTTTTACAGAAGTCTGATAAACAGAACTGCTATTTGGGTATCTGAAATGAACATATAAACCTCGTAATAGGTAATTAATTCCAAAAAGGTTAGACGAAGAAACGTTTTCAAAAAAGTTAAATGAAAAGGAAAAGTTAGGAATCTCTGGAGAAAGCCTCTTGATGTAGCCAAATCATATGACGGTTTATCATAAGCTGTAACTTAATAAAGTAAAGGGCACTCAAGTGGTGGGTGTATTTGTTTGGTATGCCTCTTAAAGGACAAACTATTATCAGATCTAGAACGAATAGTTTGACAGATATTGGGCGCCGAGTATAGAGAAGTCATTATATATGTAAATTATATTTGAAACAATCTCAGCGATTGAAATCTAAATAATTCCGTTACCCTGAAGAAGTCCAGACAAGTTAGCTGGACGAAACGTTGGAATTATTTAAATTTCAATCGCTGAGATTGTTTCAAATATAATTTACATATATATTATGAGATCTGTTAATCAAAAAGTCGAATAAAATCTCTATACCAGAAAAATACAACAAGAGTCAGGGAACAGTATGTGGGTCTCTATCCTAAGATAAGTCAAAGGGTAGTTTGATTTATACATAAAAATACAGGTCTGATATCGTTCTGGTTTCATGTTTGCTGTCCGAAAGCTCCAGTTAAGCATTTGATGACTATCGATGTTTGTACTTTTGACACTATATTAGCCAAGCTTTATTGTGGGAAAATTTCTGTTCATACTTCTAAACTAGGATGATTAGTAACCGTGGTCAGTTTGAAGGAATTACGTTTAGCCTTATTTATTTTAAAACATAGATATTGGTACATAGAGGCACCAAATACATATGCGCCACACAAATCTCATTTGATATGTGTGAGGGCTGTGATTTTGCACGGGTGCCCAAACCGAAGCAGGTGGTTTTCTTAGGGGGCCACACCCGGAGCCTTCGACCTAAAGATCTGATCCACAAAGCAGTAGAGCATCTTAAGGAGATGCGATTCCATGGTAGCCGGTGACCAACGATTGGTTCATACGTTTAGCCTCCAAAACTATAGTTGTTTTAGTTAACCTGACTGTTAAAACAAAACCAGCTTAGAGATATACGAAGTGAACCAACCAACATTACATACTCTTCACTTAGCTAGTTATGCTTTTTGAACTTCATTGACATGAAAACGTGACAACGATCTCCCATTCAAGCTGCTGGTGAGTGATGGGGGATAGGAAACCAAATGACAGCCAGTTGGACTTCGGCGCTCAACCCATCGTTATAGTTGTTTGGTGTAAGAATAGACCACGGTTCCACCATTGCGAAAGACAGTTTCAAGAACAATAAACTTTGTAACGACAATTTTGTTGGTGAGTTCAAACAACTGCCTTTTCTATCAGTGTTTTTGTTGTATTCAAATCATGATTACCATTTAAGTTAAAAACTTAGTGACTTTATTTTACAGCAAAAACTGAGATAAGATAAGGATTTAAAAACAATTGGTTGAGATCAACTGGGAGTCACAATTTCCCAAAATAAAACTATAGATTCTTGGATTTTTGTTTTTCAAATCGGACACGACCTTAGTAAAAAAAGATTATATTCTAAACTAGAAGCAGTAGGTAGTCATAAAGCTAATCGCTGTTAATTTCTCACATGAACTCTTTATGGTTGGCATTTTTATGTTAGTAGAGGAATATCGCCATAAAAATTTGCTCACATTAGCATGTGAAACATAGTTTAAATCTTAAATACAGGCAGAAAATTACTATCCACAAAACATAATCTCATACATTCCACCATGTTGATTCTGGGGGTTTTAATACCATAAAAGATCGAAAACGTTAAGATTTCAGTTCACTGAACTGTAGCGAACAAGCTGACAACATGCTCAATCCCCTCTCGCCAGAATCAGTCGATAACACCATAGACGTTTAAGGATTCAGGGAGATTTTGATTCTTGCTTTATACTTTTTTCTGATTAACTGTAATGTACAATCATTAAATAAGTGAACCTGACAATTTACCATAAAGTTAATTGGAATCAGGTCAAACAAACTAGCAGAAAGAATAACAAATGTGAAATGAAGATCTAGACCTGGAAATTAGGACGTTTTTACTAGTAACCAGAGACTGACAACGAAATAACTAAGTGTGTTTTCGCAACTTTCCACGGATAATCCTCATTTCACATCATACAGAATCATAAAGCAATCCAAAAACAGGACACTTAAAATACATAGTATCTCTTAAGAGATGCTTTTACTAGATAAAGTAATACTCATAATAAATATTTACAATAAAATTAGCAAGAAGGTGGAAAAGCATTTACCCTTTTGCAATTTGTAAAAACTTTTCATAGGTGGCTGACTTGATCCACATTTCAGCATCTTGATTCAACCGTTCGCCATATTGAGCTTCTAACTCATTTGATATTTCTATAAGGCGACCAATTAGAGCTTGTGTCCTAAAATTTATTTTACGTTCATATTGGTCTTACTCCATATCAGTTGAAGTTCGTCGGCGTTGAACAATTCCTGCACTTTGTTTTAGCTTTAATCTGACAAATTCTTCAACTATTGTTTCCGTTTCCATCGTCTTCAAATCATCCCCATCAGCTTGGTGGGTAATCATAGGATCGTCACATTGACCGGAAACGGAACAGTCACCAGACATGGTCTATGAAGAATGGATTCAGTGAACAAATGTACGGTAATCATGATAAAACCACTGAAGAACCAGAAATACCTATAATAGGGATCTACAATTCATATTATGTTGTTCGTAAAAAGGCTACTACAGATTATGAAAAACATTGAAAGTCGGTAGGATTACCATTGACTGGTGTTTATTTCTTCCAACCATTTGTTTTGATAATAGACCACTAGCAAGTCGATTTCAGAGACGGTTTGATTCAGCAAAGATTCTTTAAATTGCACCACCAAACTTGCGTACGTTTTAATTATTGCTGATAACGACACTTTACGAATCCCGTAACTATACGACCATTTTACAAAAAAACTTAACATTTAATATTAACATTTGCCGCTAAGTTCGGAGATCCACAATAGTAGTTGATATCTGTAGGTTTCTACGGAGCCACTAGGTCCTACTAACCTTAAATAACTTTTGGTGGTAAAATATTACATGGATATGAGCATGTTTATGTGAAGGAAAAATCAGGGTTCTGATATTTTTGTGAAATCTCAGTCTCAGTCAGTCCATCATGACCACATACATTGCCACAAAGTTTAAGATCAAAAGAGAATTTGGTTGGTTCGGGAGTAGTAATGTAATGACGAATAGGTTTAGCTTCAGAGTGACACCGGGCCTTCTGAATCACTTGCAACAACAATTGGAGTACTCCATGATGCTTAAGAATACTTTTGTCACTACTTTGTATACGAAATGTCATTAAGGTTTTTGGGAAAGCCTTAAAAGTGGTTTCACGACATGAAAATACAAGGATGTTGTATTGGAGGCACCATCACAAGATCCTGAAGTGTATGAATACTTTACATAGCCCTTGAGGACTCTGTGGATGTTTATTATCTTACAAGACTTAGGAAGTTCGTTAACGATATTGCATTAAGGTAACTAATCCATGTTTACGAAAGCTAGTGAAACCAAACCAGTTCCAGCAGTAAGTACGAAAAAATCGGACCCACTACCACTTCATACTTTCCACACTTTGCAAGACACTCATGTTTTGAACAGGAGAAAATCTTTCATGAAAAAGGAAATTCTTCAAGAATGGCCATAGCTCTAGAATAGATGACAACTTTTCATAACGCTCGAAAAGATAGCCATATATTTGAAACTAACGTTTTAAGGTGGCTACAAAACGTTTAGACTTTAAAAAGCAAGAAAAAGCATCGCCACAAAAGTACAGAACTTCTTTATTAAGAATCTGTGAGACAAACTATTCACGTAGCGCACACTTTTGGAAACCTACCTCAAACCTTGACCTTTGTCCAAATGGTTGTGGACGGAATAGAAGAAGCTTTCGCTTAACAGTCTTCCGTGTCTAGTAGCAGGGGATCACCAATACCTCCAGGTAGGAACCTAGATATATTAACAATAAAAGAAAAAAAAGAAATTGGTAAAACATAGTAAGATACTATCCTTAGTCCTTAAAAATAGACCAAGTTGCCTCTTAAAGGACTGCTGGGAAGTTGCTTGGACTAGATCTGCCGGTAGCGAATTCCGGCATTTGACAACTCTTAAGGAGTAGAACTTGTGTCTACAGTCCGTTCTGCTATATTTTATCTCCAATTTGTGGGTGTTACCCCATAGGTTAGTATTGGGACTAAGCTTAAGTAGGTGTTTAAGAGGATGTCCAGAAGTGTTAAGGATATTGTAAGCTATTAGAAGGTCACCTCTAAGACGCCTCTACTCTAATGGGTAAAGGTTAAGTGACTAGAGGCGCTCTTCAGAAGGTTTAAATTTGAGTCCCTGAACTGATTTAGTGGCTTGCCGTTGGATACGCTCCAGAGTGTCCTTATCCTTTTGGAGTGAGGGAGGAAATGCTATGTTTCCGTACTCCGAATGGAGACGATTAAAACTGTTTAAGATTATGTGGAAATTTCTTCTATCAAACTGGCCGAAATGCTCTTCAATGTTACCAGTGTAAGGTTTGCTCGAAAGGTATCCCTGTCACAGTTAGAGTAAAATTTTAAGTCATGGGGCACGAGGATTCCTAAATCTTTTTCGAATCGGGATACTACCAGAGAGGAGTTTCCTACGTTGTAACGGTAGTCTGCGACATGTCGCAGATGGACTACTTTACATTTTGAAGTGTTAAAAGTATGTCCGTTATCGTCTGCCCTAATTTGACATCGAGTCAGATCCTCCTGAAGTGCATGTATATCCTCTTGGTTGCGTATCTCTCTACAACGTTTCACGTCATCGGCAAAAACTAATGTCTGACGATACCTGTTGAGGAAGATCATTTATATATATCAGGAAGAGAAGAGGTCCTAGTACTGAGCCCTGGGGGACCCCACTAGGACGTTTCATAGCCTGTGATAAATTGAAGTTTACCCTAACCCTAAAATGTCGATTTGTCAGATATGAAATGAGCCAGTCAATTAAAGGTGGTTTGATACCCAATTGTCTAAGCTTATTGATAAGACATATATGGTTAACCTTATCAAAAGCTTTTGAGAAATCAAGGTAAATGATATCCACCTTCCCCTTGCGATCAAGGATGCTTGTCCATTTGTCCACCGCAGTCAGCAGGTTCGTCATACAGGAGTAACCCTTCCTGAAACCATGCTGCTGGAGTGAGAATAAATTTAAGGACAGCAGATAGTCGTGTATCCCATCGTATATCAGGGACTCCATGATTTTTGAAGGTATAGAGAGCAGAGCGACCGGTCGGTAACTTGAAGGTTTGCTGAATCGATGTCCTTTGAAAATTGGTGTGAGATGAGCCAGCCTCCAAATTTCCGGTAGTTTGCCTCGACTTAGCGAGTGTGAGAACATCACGCTAAGCGGTGTTGCCAGGATTGAAGCTGCTTCCCTCAGTATAGCAGAGTGGACCATATCTGGACCAGGAGTAGTGTCTGTTCTTAGGTGCTGTAGTTTTCGGAGCACCAAGTCAGCGCTTAGTTTCACTACGGAAAGTCCTGTGCAGTTGCAGATGAAGCTGTCATCAGTATAGTTGATGTGGGTCGGTTGAAATGTCCGGGAGTATTGCTCAGCTAGGAGGTTAGCGGCGTCACCGTCATTATCGGTCGAGCCGTTAGGTCCTAGCAGTTGAGAAACTCCAGTTTTGGCTTGACGAAGAGAGGCTGCGTAACGGAATAAGCTTTTTGGATTGGAAATAGATTTATCCATAAGCTTTATCTGGTACTGAAGCCTGTCTTCTCGTATAGCCTTCGTGCATATGTTCCTTATATGTTTGTATTTCATGTACTCGCCGTTGTTGTCTGTTCGTTTGTATTCTGCTTAACAGTGCCTTTTACGGCTTAACAAACGAAGAGTGCGGTTTTTGGTGATTGTATGTTGCATGTGGCTTTTGGGGGCCGTTTGAGGAACTAACTTCTGTGCAGCACATAAGAGCGTCTGCAGTGAGAAGTCCCAATGAGCATCCACATCAAGCTGAGTGTGAACATCCCAATCTACCTGTAGTAGATAGTCCTGTAGAGCTGACACATTCAACCGTTTGGAATTCCAGCGCCTGTTGTTGTTGGGATATCTTAGCTCAGTTTTGCTTTTCCTCAGGGGAGCCAGAATTGAGAGGTTGTCAACTAGAAATTCTTCGTTTGTAAATACACAGTCTAACCGCGGCGGTGTCTAACTTTTCCTCCAACGAGTTGCCGACTGCACATTTTCATATAATCTCAAATCCTTAATGAGGTTGAAGAACCGAGCTTCAATTGAGTTTTCACCTCCATAAGCTTTAACTGGTATTGAAGTCTGTCTTCTCTTATAGCCTTCGTACATATGTTCCTTATATGTTTGCATTGCCTGTACGCGCTGTAGTTATCAGTTCGTTTGTATTCTGCCTAACAGTGCCTTTTGCGGATTAACAAACGAAGAGTGCGGTTTTTGATGATTGTAGGTTGCTTGTAGCTTTTCGGGGCCGTTCCAGGAACTGACGGCTTTGTAGCACATAAGAGCGTTTACAGTAAGAAGTCAGTATGCCGATTCAGTAGGCTTGGGATTTTATGACATTGTCTTCAGTTATATGTAGTTATAGAACTTCTGTATGTAACCACAATCTGACAATCTCCTGGAGGTGTTCAACTCTTCTCGAAGGTCAGATTGGTTAGAGAGTCTAACCAAGTTCTTATGACTGCAGACAACATTCCTTAATGTCGAAAAATCACCTTGGAATGAACTATGATCGTACACCAGGTCATCAAAGCACCCATTAGTATGGCAGCAGACGCATCAAACTAGGTAATCGAAGTCTTAGAACTATGGGTAAACAATACCTGGTAACCCTTGACACTACTCTCGAGACAGTTGTAAAGAACCGAATTGATGTATAGCAATTCTGGCAGGGGACTCCCAGTTATCCATTGTGCTGCACAGGATGTTCAACACTATTTGAAAAATAGTTATGTGAAACCTGGAATATGCATGCAATTGAAGGAACTATACTCTATTGTAGATATATTGATAACACATTTCGTGTCTGTACCAATCACAAACATTCTACGTACTTGCTCAATCTGTTCCACGAAGCACACACGGATACAGGTTTTACAATCGAACACGAAGAAGTTAAATTCCATTTCTTAGATATTGAAATCATACGAAAGTCAAACGGTACACTACGTCAAGTAGAATCCGTTCAAATTGCAACAACCCCAGTCCCATAAGTTATAAAAAGGGGATTGCACAAACCTATTCGACTGAGCTTATAAACTTTGCTCAAAGGAAGGCCTTCATTACGAATTGTCTACGTGAAAATGCTTATTCATCGAAATTCATCGAAAGATACACCAGAATCGAAGTATAGCTTAAATGCGATACAGTGGAAAATAAAACCTGCTTCTTATATTTGCACTTTACCGGAGATGAAATCACTTGGATAATCAACCACTGGGTGAATGTCGTGATGAAGGTTGCTTATCCACCGACAAGATTGACGGCGTTATGTGGAACGAACTGCTCGTTCAAGCAAACAGAAGTTGATAGGTCCTCTTTTATCAGTACCCTAA